GTGCTTCAAATCAAGACTTTCCTTTTCTTTGCACCTTTCGTCATTTTGGACACGTTTAGTACCATAACCTACATGGGTACTGATGACCGTGTTGCTTGGTGGGTTTATCGCTTGGAACCAGAGGCCCAGCAGGGCGTTCTACGCGGAACCACAACGTAATATTTCTGCGGCTTGGCAGCGTTGCTGCTTCAAGCCGAATATGCTACTGAGAAAATGCTCGCGATTACCCCCATTAAATAGGCCGAAAGTGTTTGTCGAAGTACGAAGCTGTATTAGTCCATTGTCATTGCGTAATCACTGACATGTTTCCATTCACACCTGATTTGCTTCACAGTACCGGATGCTGACTAACAGATTCGCATGTGTTCGCATATTTACAAGCTAAAACAAAGAGTAACAGGAAATGCTACAGTGTAATGGGCAATCTCTTAGAGTAGCGGGCAATCCCTCAGAGTAGCGGCATAAATAATAGAGTAGCAGCCCCGCTATGCTAAAACGCTTTGTGGAGAACACTGGTATAGTTTTTTTTGTTTTGTTTGCACTTCTTATAAGTGATTACCAATTTTTGTTTTTATTTATATCACTAAATTCATAGCCTTTTCTGACGTGAAGAACTATTATTATTATTTGTCAAATGTAAATTGTGCTTAACTTTTGTCAATGTTTGCCAGAATTGGTGTTTGTGGAGTATATTACCATAGTAACAAGTACAGTGGTTATGAGAAGTTTGTTTTCGCACTGTGATGTAATATGTTTACAATTAGCCAACCAGCATGCGAATGTCTGATAACTAATATTGTTCACTGATCAACATCAACTCGCGATCTGCTGCGACAACATTGCCTATAAGGTGCTTTATTGAAAGGAACACATATTTTATCTTCAGCTGTGAGCTACTGTACCAGTTCTTTCCAACCAGTCACTGCACATATGTATGTGCGCAAAAAAATAAAAAAAAGTGAGACAGCCTTTAGTAAACTTAAGAAAACATAAACTGCAAAAAAGCGAATTATATTCAGCGATAAAGCAATTCATTTACTCAGAAATCCTTAGCTAAATGAAAAATCAGTGGGAAAGTGCCCTCTATCGTCAATTATTGGAAAATCTGTGATTAAAGACGTCCATTAGCATACATCATAAAATTTAAATCTTATTATAAAGTCTTGTTAGACCATTGCACTGTCTGTGCAAGTAATCTCTAGACAATTTCAATTAAGTTGACGTCAACAGACATTACACTAATTATAGCCAGCGTTTTGTTGTCATTCCACGCCAGAGGTGAGGATTGATTCTCCTCTGGCGGTAATTGAGAGTGTCTGCTGACGTCAACCTAAGAGAAATTATTGTGGGATTAAGTATTGATCACTTTTGTAGTGAAGCAGTGGAGTGTTGAAAGTAGAGTAATTGCTGAGATAACACCAAATACAGATTGTTTAACCATTTTTTGCGTTGCTAAATAATAATTCTGCAAATAAACACAATTTTTCACAACATTTTCACCATAAACCATAGTTACCAGAATATTTGAACCTGAAAGATCGGGGAAAACCTGATGGGAAAACCTTTTGGTAACTTGCACAATTGTATGGAATTTTTTCATTGTATCATATGTGTCGTGTGATGCGTTTTCAATCTGAATGTGGAGATGTGCATGTTATATATGTGACAGTGTGCCATATTTTCTATATTAGAGGAACATCTCCCAAGTTCTTTTTGCATTGGGCCAGCAAATAAGTTGGTTTCCAACCATGCTGGTTCCGACTGGTAGTCCTGGGGAAATTGATTTTGATAAAGAAAAATGTTAGACCATGTCTAATTATTTTCATTAGTTTTAAGATTATAATAAGAATTAAAGAAAAGTATAGCAACTTGATAATGCCTTGTTTCTATCTTGGTTTCATTTTAAATGTACTCATTCTGCAAACGTCGGTGTCCTTGAATTGGAAATCCCAGCCAAAATAGGGGGTCCTACACTGGCACCTTCAAGTCTCCAATAATTCAACTCATGAGCTGACATTCTGCTCTAAGAATTCGGATTCAGTGTGATGTGTATATACTTTGTTCACTGCATTCTTTTTCTTTCTCTGACTACAGGCACTGCAGTACTACTGAAAAATCTAACAAGAAGCGTGGCAACTTCTTTTCTTCACCTTCACTTAAATAATTTCTCAGCATGGGTGGGATAGCGAACACTTATACATGCACACATATAATATATAAATGCTATTTTTTCAAAAAGGATTATCTGTAGTTACTTGTGTGTCAAAATGTTTGGTCACTTTTATTAGCTGGTACATGTATATGAATTTAACAGTGTTGTGTTAATTGTTTTTAATATTCTAGGTTTGGTAGCACAAAAAGTAAGAACAGTGCCCGACCACGTCATTTCTTCTCATCACCCAAGCTTATATAAAGAACCGCTACTACCTACTGAATGAAGGCATTCCTGAATAATATTAACATATATGCATGTAAAGAAAACCCTCCCTTGGCTGTCTGATGTACTAATCTTCTCACTTATACCCAACACTGTCATTGTGCATGGAATGTCTGACAGACATAATTTCTTATAAAACAACACTGCCATTGTGAGGACAGATATATTGTACATCACGACAATTTTGTTTTTAACTTTGTGTGCGACTCCAAGAAAAGTCTGTTCTTTATCCATGTATATAAAGTAGTACCGTAAAATCTGTATTAGAAGCCGCATCCATAATAGAAGTCGCACCCATTCTTTTTGAATAATTGAGAACCAAAAAATCATCATTTCTCATATGTGTAGATGCTCTAATAGAAGCCGCATCCCCTCTATTGCATTGTACCATTTTGATAGAAGCCGCGGTTTCTAATACAGATTTTACAGTACTCGTTGTCCCAAACTGTACAGACGAAGCTTGTCATTTTCTTCAAGCATGTATGCATGTCAGACAGAGCAAAGTGTGGCACCATTCAAAGACTTCAGATAATGCATGCTGCATAACAATTATTTTTTATATATAAAGGTGAAATATGTAGAAATAAAACTTGTTAATTCATTCAATGGATTGCATTTCCATCACTCGTGTAATAGAAGTTGCATGTTTGCTACTCATTACTTGCATCACTGTAAGGGACTGAATAATTAAAATGTAAACAGCAAATTTAATCTCCGAACGTTATTATTTATTTGAGAGTTGATACACATGGTAGTTATTGCCAAATGTATAGCACTTGTATTCTGTATTGTATGAACAAATTCTAAAGATTACAATGTTGCTATGATTGTTTTGATTTTACTGGTATAACATGTTAGAGTAGTAGCTATAAAGGCAACAAGTTTGACATGAACAATAACATTCATTGTGTCATATGTAAATTCCAAATATTTTGGAACCCCCCCCCCCCCTATACACAATTTTTTTTTATGATGATGCTTATAACGACTTATAACGACTTCAATGATGCTTATAATGACTTCAATATTTGATTTATAGACACAAACATGTAAATGTGTAGGAAATATCAATTTGTATTCATCGCTTCATTGTCCAAGATACATAATCATATTTGATTTATAGACACAAACATGTAAATGTGCAGGAAATATCAATTTGTACTCATCGCTTGATTGTCCAAGATACATTTCTGGTTATATTCTTTCATAGCATTATTTAATCATTAACACATAAAATATTCAAATCTATAAACAGAACATTTTTTACTTTGCCCAATACTTTATCAATTTCAGTTCTTCTGGCAATGAAATTCTTCTAGTTATCAAATATCTGTCATTGCTTTTAGCATTAATCATCATTCCTGTACGGCACATGGGTGCATTTATTGAAATTTTCATTGTGTGTTTATGAAAGGAAATGCGAATAGCAGTATTTTTATTATATTTGCTGATATCACTTGTGCTAAAATGTTTCCCCCCCCCCCTACGCACAAAAATGGACCCTACAAATGTACATTTCTGATAAGTTCTTTTTTAATTCAATGTGCATGTTTACCTAAAGTTTATTACTCCAGTACATATTTTTTCATATCTATTACCGGGTATTTATACAATATATGTTCCTCAATATGTTAAATAAGCTGTAGTTTAGAACTTGTTTTCATTGCCGTCATTGACGAAGTTTAGTGATGTCTTGGGATGTGAGATAATTAATGGTATGAATTTTAGATAATAATGCCCATGTTTCGAATTCCTGTCGCCTGCACTAATTTGAAATCGTTGTAAATTCTTACATATTAGTACACAAAATTCAAACAAATAACCAGTAGTATGTGCTGCAAATCATTGAATATTGTATACTTAGACTATTGTATTTCTTTTTGTATGTATCCATTCGAGTCCATCAAATATTTTATTAAAAATTTAGAAATGATCTCAGCATGCAACTTAATATTTCATCCGACATAAATTATTTAAATTTAACTCAAGATAACAAGTTTTGAAATCACTTGGATAAGAGTACTAAAAAGAAGATAATTTTGTCATTTATCTGATTTTATAGTGAGAATACTGTTTTTTCTAATCATTTGTCTCCCTTGCATCATACATGAGGGAGGTGAAGGTGTACTATCACTTGCAAGTTATCTTCTCAGGAAACCATCTTTGGACACCTTCAGACCATTAATAAAATAGACTCCCAGGTGTTTCATCTTAATACTTGAAAATATGACGCCTATTTCTTGAAAACAAACTGGATAGTTATGTTTTATAATTGCATGCAAAGTGCGAGTTTGCAACTACTTTACTGTTCAATTTGTTAGCGTGTACAGTCCCAGGTTATTTCTTATTTTACTTGATGTATCATTGCATTATATCCACCAATTCATCATTATTAAACAGTCTTCTTCTTGACATATTAGAGTGTTAAGCTTATTGTATTGTTTGCAATGATGTATTTCATTATTTATATTCAATGTAAAGCATGCTATTATTGGTTTTAGTTTTGCCTGTCCATATTTAAGATTTTTTTAATTTTATTTTATACACATTGTTTTGTATTGACACACAGCATAATTCCAGGGGTTAATTGGCGACTTGTTTGTAACATCGACTTCAGTCGCTGTTTTCCTGTTTTTGGCCAATTTTTCCTTGACAGTTAACATTTTTGACAAACTGTATGATTCTTGTTACAACACTTGCACATGTTAAGTAAAAAATAGGTTTAAAACTAGTGACTATTGTAGTGGTTTTGGCAATTTGGTGTTGCTGCACCTCAATATACATGTGACTTTTCAACATGACTGTGAAATAGATTTGAACACACAATGCCTTATTTTCACTTCGTGGTATATCGTATTTTTTTCCCTTGAAGACTTTTCAGTCACTTGGATAAGAGAACAAAAAGATGATAAATTGTTATGTCATCTATTTGAATAGCATGTTTTTCACTTGTAGAGTAGACATTCATTTTACTCAATATTGTACATTCATATTTGTCTGATGTCTGTATTTGTGTGAATAATAATAACCAAGGAAATAACATTTTAGGGAGGTGGTTCCCACGGCCATGTGCATTCAAATGTATTGAAATAATGGTGTATTGCAAATGGCTGTGACTAGTTTTAATGCAGTCATAGTAACCATGAGTTTGGGTTAGCAGACTAGAATACTACTGCCAAAAAGATCCATGCATAATCTCATGATTTACTGTAATATATTTGCTCGTTCAGATTTAACACTGCCATTAAAGAGCAACTCGTTTGTTTTTTTCAATTTTAATTTGTCATATTGTACATACAACTAGTTGTAGTTGATTTCACTCTGTATAATAAACCATACTAAATAGGACAATACTGTTGTTCATTTCAGCTTCTATAGCAAATGTAGTCTTAATTGCTGTGTGCAAAAATCGTCCTTTTATTTTGTTACACAGAAGCCTTCTACCCTGATAGGTATAAAATCTAATAAACTGGTTTCTTGCATTGATAAGTGGGTGGGTGAGGGTGGAACAGATAGGATCATACTGGTTAAGGAGCCTTGTAACATAAAGTCATAGTTCAAAAGAGTAATGCAAGTGGACAGAATGCTAATCAAGGTAGCTCTGCATATATTTCAGATTGTATGATAGTATGCTAGACTTAAATGAGTCGGAACTGCATTCTTGTACAGTTACCGCAATCAGAGCCTTGGATACTCAAATTGCAAAGACACCAGTGATAGAAGAATCAGAGCATAGTAATTACAGCATTTTGTTTTGTACCAGCTGTAAAAGGTTGACTGACCTGGTCTCCCAGTAGCAATGATGCTTTTAATAGTACTGAGGCTTGTTAGGGATTGTAATTTCACAACTGGATTTAGTGTTTTTCTTAGCTACATGTAATGGCAGGGTATTGCATAAGCTTTTGGATCCCCAATTTTAACAATTGGAGATAAGTACCCAAACTTCTTTCATGTTTGACATGTCTTCTTTGATGTACAGCATCCTGGGTAAGGCCCTTTTAAATTCATATTCTACAAACCCAATAGAACCCTCATTCGCTGAACTTCACATCCCCAAGCTAACACTTATAAATATAGTACAGCATTGTGCTGTATACCATTTAATCAATAATGCAGTCATTAACAGTTGTGTTAAAAATTACGAGCAGGCTAACGTGAGAACTTTATTTGGTACAAATTTGATACCTGGTCTGGTGTTGTCTTCAAGTGATGCAGCAAGATCAGAGACCTAAGGGTCCCATTGCACTCAAAGACAAACCATGCAGGGAAACACCAAACAGCTAACAATGATTAGCCATTGAGGGTGTGGTTGACTGTGGTGTGATCTCGGAGTCCCATAGTCCTATCATAATGACGGACAAAAATAATCCTCTCTGCATTGGTTACCACAAGAACAATCCGTGCACAGTCTAAGTTGCCTATGCTCCATCCTGTATCCTGTATAGAAAAAAAGCATGATGCCTTTGAATTCAAAATTTGGACCTTTGAGACTATGGTTGATATTGAAGGATAAATGCGACATTGAAAAGACAATGTTTGAAGTTAGCATTCAGGCTTTTCACAAGTCTGATCAACCTTAGAATAAACTTCAACTACAAGCATTGGATACGATGATGACTATTATCACTTTGAACCTACAGTGACGTCATTTAGCCAAGTAATTTTGTCCTTGTTCGTTCTCAAAAAAAATGGTTGTAACTAGAGTTACGCGCGAAAAACAACTTCAAGCACAGGGGCGGATTTGGCCACCGGGACACTGGGCAATTGTATGAATTGTACAATATGTTTGTATGCATTTGTATGTTATTAAGTTGTGTTGTGTAAACCATGTGCGTCCACAGTGGCAGCGGCACGGGCGGGGGGGCGGGGCTGGGTTGGGGTTAGTCGCCCCTTGATGTTCTTTGTGTCAGCAAAATTTGCCCATCAAAATACAAGAAATAGCGTTTCAAAGGGTCTGGATTTCAATATTTCCGGGTGAGCATGCCACCGGACCCTTCAGTCAGAGATGGATATGATGGTGAGCAGATCTCACCTCTCCATGCAAAATTCCGTGCCGCCTCCTCTGGTTCAGTAATATTGTTTTTTTACCTACATGTAGTGCGGCCTATAATATAATTGTATATAATATATATATTAAATGCAGACTGCATTAATTTCCAGCGTAGGCCCTACCTGGATGAGAAAGCTGTAGGAAACATCAACGTCCCAAAACCTCAACGTCCCAAAGAGAGTCCAAAACCAGAAAAAAAACTAAACAAAACTTGTTTTATTCAGCCGATTCTTAAAGACCCTTACACGCTGAATTAGAATATATATTAGTATTTAGAGTATGTTTTTAAAGTATTTGATGTGGAGATATAAGGTTAAAAAGGGCAAGGCACTTAACACACATTGTCTAGGAAAGAAAGACGTAAATACC